ATATGATTGAGATCCTCCACAGTTTCGCACGTCGCGCAGTTTGGAGTTTCCCTCAAACCGATCTTAAATTTATGTGCGCCCCACAATCCATGGTTAATCCGGAAAGGTACGATTACCAAGAAGAAATGTCGAGAAGCCCGATACCCCTGAAACCATGGTGGGGGCACCACGGGGAACCTACACTTATACAGGTGTACGCCGGGGACTCATTATATAAATCCTGCCAGTTGCTAAGCCATTCCCTATTTAGTGCTCTTTTGCTATCAGACGCTGTCATTTTGTAATTGCAGAACACCCCAGGGTCTCAAACTAATAGAAATCCCTTCATCGCTCTATCTGTTCACTCGGAGTCCTTTTTTTTTAAATCCCGTCTTATTGAGTATTTCTTGTATTTTAAAAATTGGCACTGATGAAATTTAATTGCCCCTTTAGTTCAATTCCTATAGTGGTGTATTATAACTTTATACTATTTAAACCTCTATTTGGCTAAGTGTATCTGGATTTGACGGGAGGTCCGAGAGTTTTCTTAAGCTTAGTAAAAGTTCTTTTTATTGGAGTTTAGGCGCGATCGGGTGGGTAAGGTAATCTTATAGACCCCGCGGTCCCGGGTTCGAGATCAACGTCACCCTGAAATTTCTGACTCCTCCCCTTGTCTATTAAGGGTGGCCTTTGCATGTGGAGAAGTTAAGTGTCAGAGACAACAAAAAATTCCAGAAATTTTATTCTAAAACTTTCAGCCTAAGGGAATTCCTGATTTTGTTCTTTCATAAAAACGTAAGTAGCTAGTTAGTTTTTTTTCTAAAGACGAAATTTTGTAAATATATGTAAACGAATCGTCTTTAAAATAAAAGTATTTTCCGAAGCATAAATCGAACTTAAAACGAGTGGACAACTAAAAGGAATAAATTTACATAATTTGTATTCAAAAGTAGTGAAAAAAATTGCCCTCGATTGTTGCTTTTGCAAGAAGGGACAAAAACCAGGACGGCATCACGTTTCTTATTGAAAAATCTAAAATTGAAGGAATCGGGAACTCACCTTCGTCGTCCGTACAATCCGTAACCCATTCGACCAACTGCATATTACGAATAACGACCCGTGATCCTTTGTACGGGATGAAACAAGATTCTCCGTATGACCTGAAAAAAGGTAAACTGCGAGATCGGAAGTCACGCTTCTATGCCCTTGTTATGCTTTTATATGGAGGAGTCGCTCACTTGAATAGACAGTTCAAAAAGCCGGCAACAAAAGCCTAACTACCCTTGAATTGACTATTGTTATATACCACACCGTCCATACAGAAATCTAATTCAGCCTTTTCTCATCGTTTGATTTTCGCCAAAGACTACCTTAAAAAAGAATAAACTTTTAGAGACTATAGAAATATATTACTACGTTTTTACTGAACTCTAGTTTTACCCAAAGCAATGGGAAATAATTTTGTTAATTCCTATTCCTTAACTATATTAAATGGAGAAAAACCTGTTGAATTTTTAACCAAGTCAAAACTTAATCTTTTTCGCATTTTCATCCTGTTTCCCATTAAAAAAACTGTCAAACGAAACTAATTATACAGCCCTAAATAATCTTTTTGTTTCAGATATAATCCGCTCCAGTTACACGAAATTTCATAAAACTCACCATAAATCCTATAACCAAAAACGTCCTCTTAAACCGAAAAAAAACTTCCGCTGAGGCAAAATAAATATGTCAAATCTCTGGAAATTGAAAAGTTTTGGTTATGTCATGATTATTCCTACAATTACCCAAACATTCTCTAAAAGAGCAAAAATTTTCATAACATATCCCTTTAACCCTGTCCTATACACTACCCACTTATCCACCCAAGGGAAATTCTCTTAAATAAAAATTATTCATAAAACCAAACAAACCCAACCTTCTTAGTTTTACAAACCAAGGAATCAAGTTTTTAGAAAAACCGGTAAAGGAACGGCTCAAGCCCTTTGTTTCGAAATTCCCAAATTTCCCTCCCTGATTTCTCAAAACGACAGTTCCCACTCGGTTGTCACGGTATGGTATTTGTGCGGCAACGTGCGGTTTCGTTCATTTCGTGTTAATGCATGGAAATAGTAAAAGAATGTTTTAATCGTTTGTGTTGGTGATTGAAAATTTCACTTCTTTCCATGAAAATCTTGACGATGAAGTGGCACGGTGGAAATGTACGTCTCGTGGCTGTAAGTCCTATTTTAAGCGAAACAACCTTGATCATATGGATTAAGATTTTTAGTTGAGTTAAAAAGTCAGTGTCATGAGCGGGATTCGAACCCACGATCTCGGGCTAGATACGCCGCTGCTCTACCACTTGAGCTATCGTGACCTCGATCCACTCGGACACCAACTTCCTATCTCAACCCCACCTTTTGAGTTTTCCCCCCTTTTTGCCATTCACCTTTTTTTTGCCAATCCCGTTTGTGCCACTGACTTTTTTATCTCAACTAGAAACCTTAATTAATTGTAATATATTAATTGGTCAAGCGGACCACGAAATTAGTGAATTTACATTTAAGAATTAATTATGGTTTTTAGGTGAGATAAAAAAGTCAATGGCACGAGCGGTATTCGACCCCACGATCTCGGGCTAGATACGCCGCTCCTCTACCACTTGAGCTATCGTGACCTCGATCCATTCGGACACTAACTTCCCATCTCAACCCCACCTTTTGAATTTTCCCTTCTTTTTGCCTATTTTCAACGAGGTCACGATAGCTCAAGTGGTAGAGCAGCGGCGTATCTTGCCGAAGATAGTGGGTTCGAATCCCGCTCGTGCCATTGACTTTTTTATCTCACCTAAAAACCTTAATTAATTGTAATACATTAATTGGTCAAGCGGACCACGAAATTAGCGAATTTTATATATAAGGATTTCTTGGCATTTATTAACATTCCATGTATCTTTCCATGGTTGCTGATGGCTATCATTTGCACCCGGTTCGTGGATGCATGCACGTTGCATGAATTCGTGTGAGGCAAAAGTTGCGACGTTATGCTTTCCATATTTCATTTGTATAAAAGTACTGCACGAGGCCTAAGACACTACCTTGATACGTAAGGCTACGTCAGCCTTGATTTCAATGAAATCAGACTATTCGTTTTTTTAACTTGGAAAAATCTTTCCAAAATGTGAAATGTCAAAAATCCAACATATTGTTTTGCGTTTTTTTTTTCAAGTTCATGTATTAAACCTTTGTGCCAAACCTCGTCAAAGGCATACGATACGTTTATGAATAAAGCTGACATATATTTTTATTTTCTAGAGCTTTCTTTATAATAGTCCTAGTTGCCCAGCTAGCTACACTTTGTTGGTGAACAGCGACGCAAATCCAAAGTCCAATTTTCCATAAGATTGTATTACCCCCGTGCACATCTGCCCTTTGCCACGCAACGCTACCCTACTGAACACTATGCGATCCCCATTGTCCAGATTTTCGCCGGGTCGGATCGAGTGCAGCCGAAGACAAACGAACCGGACACTCATATTTTTATTTCAAACTATATGCATTATTGTTATTTATTATAAAGTATTAATTAAAGCATACTTATTTTAATATAAAGCAAATTTAGCGTGATCAAAAATTCATTAGTTTTTTTTTTCAAATTAATAGTTTGGTTGAAATATGTGTGGTGATTAGTGACCGTTAATCGATAATTTTTCAGAAATCTTAATCCGTTAATCAATCAGAAATCAATCAGAGACCGCATCTCACGATTTCTGAATAAGTTTGGTTGAAAATTGAACAAAACACCGGAATACCATTTTTTGATATAATGAATTTAACTAACAATTTATTACACATTTTTGCACTTACAATTTAACTAACAATTTTTTTCATGGTTTTGCTCATAAATTTACATAATTTTTCTCGAGTAGCTTCAGAACAGGACACTCACATTTTTTGTAGTTTATCTCAAACTAAGTATATATAATTTTGTCATTATATCAATTACAACATTCCTGTTTTAATGTAAGCCAAATTAAACGAGATCAAAAGTTCATAAATTTTCATAAAAATTATTTAATTATGATGGTTAAGAAGAAAATATATCAAAATACCGGAATCACTTTATTTAAAAAAATTAAGTTTAACAAACAGTTTATTACGTGGTTGTGCTCATAAAATTTAACTAACAATTTGTTACAAGGTTTTGCTCAAAATAACGTATTATGAACAAAAGAGGCGTTGCGATTGTGATAATGCTTTGTGATACACGCTGTGTTACTTGTACGTGACGTGCGCTTGACCTCGCATAGATGTGCACACCCTACCAAAACGAGACAAGGCGTCGGGTAGCGTCGCATAGCGTTGCATCGGGAAAGTGTCCCCGGCTTTACACATCTTTTTGTGCGTCCATGCAAAGGTACTTTCTGAGTACATTCACACAATATACTCGTTGTTCCAACATATTTTCTTGTTACGTATTTAGAGTGCGGTTGTAAAAAAAAATATAAAAATATAAATAAAAAATCCAGATCAATAAGTGATTCCTTTTGTGTCAAATCGGTTTTATACCTTTTCCAAAATTAGAATTAACGCCAGGTGAATTTAAACCGTAAAAGCCCCGAAGTAAAACAGTGGCGATAAATCAGCGGGATGGTACAGAGAGCGAGGGATCTCTCCTCCTTGCTTGCATGGAATGAGGGGTACATTTATTGGAAGGAATGATATAAAAGGAGGAATCGCACTCCGAGGACGTCCTCCCGGCGGCCACCATTAATATCTTTCCTTTCCATTTGACAACTGAATTGGACTTCTAGATATTACATTACGAGAGAACGTCGACGAATAGTTGAGGGAGATTTACAACGTCGGCATGTTATTGCATTACAATCCTTCGCCTGGGCGGAAATTCGGATTAGCCGTTGTATCCTCAGACGTACATTAAACATTGAATAAGAATATTAACTCAATTATGAAAGTTAATATTCTATATAATACATATCACTAGCTACAAAAGAGGCACAACATTTAATTTTGTCTTACTTGGAGGTTTGTTTTCTTCACAACTTTCATCAGATACCTGATGCATTCCGTAAATCCTTTCGAACAACTTCTGTGCACTTCCCAGTGCATGTTTTTCAGCGGAGGTTCTGGAAATTTGGCCGAGTATACGTACACCTGATTCGATTGCGTTTGAAATCTAAAATATAACCGAATACATGTATGTAGTATGTAAATTACATTTGACATTAAACTTGGACAACTAGTGAGCCCATGTCTGCCGAGTTTCCTTGTAACCAAAGTTTTAACTAGAGTCCTTGAAGTTTTAATTGGACGTCTTTATGGAATTGCAATTTGTTATGAACTACTTATGCATTTACTTAGTTAATAAATATTACTTTATCTGATACTAAACGAACATCATTTTTGAAAAGTTTACGACAAGAAAATTTACCTATCATTACAGACAATCATAACTAAATAATTCAGTTGAACTGCACATGACAGTGACTCTTTCATCTCAACGAAGACCTTAGATCAAAAGAATAATTATTTGAAATAATTAATATGATCAATGATGAACGCTAAATATATATAAATTATTAACTAAATTTTTTTTCTAAAAGAAAATATGTTTGTTGTCATAACGCATCGACATACCTATACATTTAAATCAGCTTTAACAAAAAATATAATGAACCATTGATTCCTAAAATAAACAGAAAATTGGTCAACATTTCTAAGATCTGCTAATCGAACTTTTTTAAGAATTAAAATGTCAATTCCATTCTAAATTTATAGCGTTACTCATGTTCTCAATAATTGAAGTATTCATCCATGGTATGTTAGACAAAAAAACAAAAACATAGTTTTTCTAGTCAATAATTTAGAATACTTCGTCACAACATTGATTTTACATTACGATTTAATCAAAACTATTAAAAACGTCTGGTGATTAGTGACGGTTAGTCGATGATTATTGAGAAATCGTGAGATGCGGTCTAGTGTGACGTAGTTTGCAGAAAAACAATTTCTTTTCATCTGCGGCACGATAAAGAAAATGTTTTTCTGAAACCTACGTCACACCAGACCGTATCTCACGATTTCTGAATAATCATTATTAAAAACCATAATTATTATGTGCCTTTTTCTTCAAAATCCTACTCAAATATGTAGTTTTTATCACAAAAGAATATATTCCACTATACACCCACTGCTCTCATTCAACATCACTCTTCTTATTCTCCCACTCACTTATTTCTTCATTTCTAATCTTTCTTTTTTGAATAATTTAAATATAAATAATATTTTTTTTATCTCTATCTCTTTAAACAAAAATATATAGTTTTTATCACAAAAGAATACGTTCCATTATTTATCACTTTTTCTCAATATTTCTCTCTTTTTATTCTCTCTCTCGCTTATTATTATTACATACTATATATACTTCTTTCTTCTTTTGTAATCTTTTTTTTTGTTGAATAAATTAAATATAAATAATAATTAAATTCATTAGGTTTTGTGGTCCGATAGACCAAATAAACTCTTTTCAATTAATTAATCTTTAATTAAGGTATTGGTTGATATAAAAAAAAGCAGCATCACGAACGAGATTGGAACGCACAACCTTCGTCTAAATACGCCGTTGCTCTACCACTTGAGCTATCCACACCTTTCGAATTTTCGATAAATGACAAAAAGGAGGGAAAATTCGAAAGGTGGGGATGAGATGGGAAGTTAGTGTCCGAATGGATCGAAGTCACGATAGCTCAAGTGGTAGAGCAGAGGCTAATCTAGCCGAAGGTCGTCGGTTCGAATCCCGCTCGTGACACTGACCTGTTTATCTCGACCAATACTTTACTTAAATATTAATTAATTGAAAAGCTTTAAATTATTCTAATTAGTATACATTTTTTGATAATTGACTTTAGCAATATTTGAAATATTTACTCTAAAATTTAATAAAGCATAAATTAAATTAATAAGTGTGCGGTGTTTAGTGACCGTTACTCGATGATTATTTGGAGGTCGTATTTACCTTACTTAAAGATGAATTAATTGTAATAATTAATAATTTTTTATATTTATCTCTATCTTTCTATATAAAAATATGTAGTTTTTATCACAAAAGAATATGTTCCATTATGCACTACTTACTCTCATTATTTCTCTCTTTTTATATAATTTATTTTTAATATTTATGGCTACTTCTTTTTTTTCATTTTTCTCAATTTGTCACTCTTTCTTTTTCACACACACAGACTCTTTAATATTCTTTTATTATTTAATCTTAGTCTTCTTCGAAATTGACCAAATTGCTGAGTCTGTCAATAAAACAATAATCAATCAATTCAATCACTTATTATTATTATACACTAGCTTTCTGATGGATAAAGGAAGACTAAGTTATCTGACAAAATGAAATATTAGAAAATTTATTTATTAAATATTCATAAATTTTTTATTAATTATTATTATTTATTTATTACTGTTTATAGCTGATTTATGTATTAATTGCTGATTTCTCTACAGGCTATTGGCTACAAAAGGTGTTCATTTTTTCAGAACTCACTTTGAGATGATTGCCATCAAATATATATTTATACGTACACATTTTTTACTCAGTCTCTCCTTTTTCATCGATATCGTATTTTTATTAATTTCTCTTGCCAATTATTTTCATCATTGTCTATCATCCTCCTTTGAATTATTATGAATAAATGCTCATTTTGTATATACTTTTCTTTTCTCTCTCATTCTCTCACTCTCTCTTTCTCTCTCTCTCTTTTGATCTCTCTCTTTAGCAGCTTTTTCTTTCTCTCTCCCTTATTTTCTTTTACGTTCGCTCTAGTTTCTCACTCCGTCATTGTCTTTTTATTTGTTACCATAACACGCGCACCGAATAATTTATTAAATTTTTCTTTCTCTCGCTAACCAATTATTAACGATAACTCGTACCCTCTTAGTCAATAAAACTTCTGATCATATTTTGCGAACGAAAATAAGTCATAGCATATCCAATTAAAATTTTTGTACTATTCTGCCTAACTTTTAATTCGATCAACGGAATGCGCAAAATAATAAAAATAGTTTGCGTGATACAATTTTTGAGTGGAAAACAATCGTTGCTATCATAGCTTGATGATTTATTTTTGACGAGCAAGGTTCTTAACTTTGTGTGAAGTATATACCATGAAGTATTAATAAATATTTCTACAAATCAAACTTTGTTACAAGTTACAATACTAAAAACTGCATTAATGCAAAACATCAAACTTTTTATTGTGAAACTACTCCATAATGTCACTTTGTGATTCACTTTATATGATTATTATAGAAATAAGATCGTATTTATTTTATCAAGGAAATAAGTTGTCAAATAAAATACCTTCTGTCGTATTCGTTAAACTTGTGAGACCTGAGAAAGAACGCAATATCTTTTATCGCATTCGAGACCCATTCTTCTTGAAGCATTCCCATTTCTTCGCTCCATACGTCGTTGGAGTTGGTGTTCATAGCGACGCTTTCGTCCGTGAAAGTGCATCTCCATTGGAGAAAAAAAATAGACAAAGTTGACAGCAACATGCAAACTCTTAAATGAATTTTTCAATTGGTTCATTTTTCATGTTTTCTTCCTTGTTTATGTTCAAGAAGATTATGAAAACAGCTGTCTTCGTAGGTTAAAACTATGGAAATGCTTTATAAAATCGTTCTATAGATTTTTTTTTTTAAATAAAAATTTTAGGCCAATTTATTTGGTCGGAATTGTGAAAGACAACGTTGTTCTTGAGTCTAATGGACCGAACCCTCTTCTCTCTGATTTCGCCTGCTTCGTGCAAGCACGAAGGTTCGTTTTATGGCGTAGGAGTTGGAAAATAATTTATGAATTTCCTGTAAAATTTTCTCGCTCGCCCTCGAAGGCCAGCCAGATTAGATCCGTGAAACGTTTCTATTTTTATACTGGACGGGTGGGTAGTTCCGGCGTGACAGTAAAACCGAATTTACAATTGACTACTTGTTTAAAAATGTATTAAAATTATTTAAATGATTCATTACACCGGCTATTGAACGAATACTCTGAACCTAATATGAAGTTTTTGTCACAAAATAGTATATTCCACTATTAAATATAAGTTACTACATTATATAGTCACTATTTCTTTTCTCTGTTTTTTCTTCCTCTTTTTCTCCCTATATAGTGTTTGTTGTGTGTCCTTAATGTATCTGTTTTATCTCACAATTCTTCTTTCATTCTTTCACTCACAAGTTCTGAACCTTCATATATGGGATTGAAGAACACACTTCTTACTCACTCTCTCTCTCTCTCTCTCTCTCTCTCTCTCTCTCTCTCTCTATCTATCTATCTATCTATCTATCTATCTATCTATCTATCTATCTATCTATCCATCCATCTACCTATATATTTATCTATCTAAAGATCTAACTATCTGTTTGTCTCTCCCTCGCTGTCTCCCTCTCTCTCTCTCTCTCTCCCCCTCTCTTTCTCACTCTGTCTCACTTTTTCTCTTTCTCTATTTTAGACTCTTTCTCCTTTTCCCTCTCTCTGTCACCATCTATTTTTTTCCTCTATCTCTCTCGCACTTTCTCCATCCAAAAAAGCAAACACTTAATAATTCATATAAAATTAAAGCTTCAAATTTTTTAAACTCAATACCGATACATATAGTTCAAATAAAAATAATAAAATCATTCAAAGTAAAATTTAAGGAATATTAAGTAAATACTTTGAATAGAATCGTACAAATAAGCATTTAACTTATTTAACATTTACGTAGTTAACATTACATCATACAGCTTATATAGTTTTATTTATTACATTTATTATTCTATTTTTTATTATATACTTTTACAATAATTTGTAAAACGTTAATACTCTGGTATTTTATTTCATTTGTAAATCATAAATTTATGTTCCAATTTTAGAAGGTTCTAGGGGTTCTAGTTTTTGAGGATCTTACGAAAAATCTATATCTAATTTTTTTACTCAAGAATAATATGCTCTTTATAAAAATGTAACTTATACGTACAAATTACTCTCACTTTATTCATTTAGTAATTTGGAGGTTGTGAGATGCGGTCTGGTGTGGCGTAGGTTTCTGAAAGACATTTTCTTTTTCATGCCAGCTTTTCGATCTTTGTTGAGATCTTCTTCAGGGCTCAAAATGCTTGTTTTCCGTGTAGATGTGTCATTCTTGTCTGTGAGGGCACTCTCAACACGACAGACAAGAATGACACATCTAAATGGAAATAAAACAATAATTTGTTATTTCTATTTTATGTCTGTTGTGACTATAAGCAAATATTATAATTGTGATTACATGTTAAGTGTAAGAAGGTCCTCGAGACCTACGTTTTGAGTGTATTTTAATAAATAAATTGTTAATCAATCATTTAATCTCTCTCTCTCTCTCGCTCTCTCTCTCTCTCTCTCTCTCTCTCCCTCCCCATTTCATTCTCTTAATTAAATTATATGCAAATAAAAAAATTACAAATATGATTAAATATGCATATGAGGTATACACTAAACTTAACAAACGATGAGNTTTATTTGTAAAATGATAGCTCGTATAGCAATTATTTTTAGGTGTTTTATATCTGGCCTTGCTGAACTGTACTTGTGATTTTTTGTTGTTGTAAATAAATCGCTAAATAAGTAGAAATTAACTTTTTTATTTTTATTAGTTTTTGTCAAGTTAATCTTACATACCTGGTTGTTATTTAGTAATGATGTATGAAAAAGGAATTGTTTTCTCAGGATTAAGTAGAGTAGTGTGATTGAAATCTACTATTGTATTTCACTTTAGACCTAAGAGCGATCTTGGGGACCAAATCTTGAGTGATGTGTGTATAAATAGGACGGAAATCAATCAACCAATATTAGTATATCTCTTTTTCTTTCCTTCTCTCTCTCTCACTCTCTCTCTCTTTCTCTCTCTCTCTCTCTCTCTCTCTCTCTCTCTCTCTCCCTCTCCATTTCATTCTCTTAATTAAATTATATGCAAATAAAAAAATTACAAATATGATTAAATATGCATATGAGGTATACACTAAACTTAACAAACGATGAGAGAGTGTACGAAAAATTTAAATGACTAAATTTTAAAAATAAAAGTCCTGATAGACTACAATATTGCGTGCACTATATACAAAACAATTAAATTAAGAAGATCAGATTTAAAGCTGACGTTCAAAATCTGAACACTAGCAATATAAATAGGCATATCCTGGTTATAAAACATTATAATAAAATGCTTAGTAATTCGTTTTTAATTAAAGGGGTTTTAGTCAAAGGGGTTCTCAAATTTACCGAATTCAAAAATGCAAAAGTATAGAGCCATTGAAGAAAATCTTTAAAAAATTATCTACTTTCCAGATATGTATCAAAAGTACAGATTTATAAGTTTAAAAGTTGTTAATTAATCATTATTATTCAGAAATCGTGAGATACGGACTGGTGTGATGTAGGCTTCAGAAAAATATTTTCTTTATCGTGCGAACGTTTCGATCTTTATTGAGATCATCTTCAGGGCTCAAAGTGTTTGTCTTNTGTTTAGATTAAAAGATATCACGATTTTCCGACGCCAGGACGTGATATCTTTCAAAATCGATAAAAAGCGAAATTACTCTGAAATGGTTGAGAATCGGACCATGGTCAATATGAACTTTTTTGTTCATTTTAGGGTGAAGAATCTACTGGAGTAGTTTGTAGCACGAGTAGCAATTCACCCTGTATATTTATCCATTACATTTCTATTCTTCGACATTTCTTTTACAATGTCTCTCACTCTCTCTTCTTTTCTTACCCTCACTCTCTCTACTTCTCTTTCTGTCTCTCCTTCTCTTTCTCTCTTTCTTTCACATATACTCACATACTTACTGTCACTTTCTGTTCTCTGTAGAAATTATTATATATTATCTTATATATTGTCCTCTAACTCGACATTTCAATATTTATTTTCTTTTCTATTCATATTTTGTGTATTAAAATAAGAAAATCATAATTTCCTTTTATTTATCTCTAAAAAACGTTTTCATTTTAACTTTCAAATGATATTTCTTAATCATATTTTCTAAAGGAAATTTCAAATATAATAGTATAAGTGGGAAGCTTAGGGATGAAATTCTTCTTAGCCGACTTGCCTCATAAAGGGAATAATGTAGAATGGCAAAGGACTTAGTAGGACTCAGTGGCGAGACGGTGACGTCAGTAAACCAAATCCCCTTCCCTGTAATTGGTTTTAGCCATTTATTCAACTAAAATAAAGTGGTCCTTTTAGCAAAAATATCACACAAATTGTACACGTGGTTGAACAAATTTTTTCACTTTAACATTGGCTGTTCATTAAAATAAAGTTTTAAACAAATATTTTATGGCCATTGATGGAAAATATAAAAACTAACCCCTCTGTCTGTTTTAAACAATGTTCCAGAGTAATTATCGTTTAGAGTAATATAAAATGCAAATCTATATTTAAATTACATTGAATTTAATTATACCATTAACAACATGGATTGCTGGTTTGTTTCAGAAGGAAAACACTAAGTTTTTAATTTAATTATAAAGAAAAAGTGAAAATTAAAAAAAAAGTTTCTCAATTTACATTTCCTCGTAATATTCAATTTGTTACTTTATACCCTTTCATTCGGAGGTGGAGAGATGAAAGGGTTAACAAGTTGCTAAAGATGTGAAAAGTATTTAAACATGCTCCCTTTGAAAAAGATGGGGGGGGGGAAATGTATGCCTGTCTCAAGGATTAATTCCATTTTTAATATGAAGATTTATTTTCTAAAGTATGCTAATCCTGATAAAAACCAAACTTGGGGGGTTATGAATAAATTAAAAAAAACATGTATTACACTTTATGGATAAATAATAAACGTCTTGTTTTTTAATTAAAATTTTAATGTTAAGAGAATAAGAGAAAAACGTACATTTAACTTAAAAACAATTGAAAATCCATTACAGTTCGTGGTCCGGTTGACCAATTAACATTCTTCAATTAATTAATATATGTGAAAGGTATTAAGATAAAAAAGTCAGTGTCAAGAGCGGGATTCGAACCCATGACCGGCTAAATACGCAACTCTACCACGTGAGCTATCGTGACTTCGATCCGCTCCGACACTAACTTCCCATCTCAACCTCACCTTTTGAATTTTCCCTCCTTTTTGCCATTGTTCAAATGTCGTGTAATCTATTTGATTCTCGGCCACAAATGAAATGGCCACGGAGAGCTTTCGTGAAGATATACACCAGTTTAATTATTAAATCCATTACACTTCGTGGCCCGATTGACCAATTAACATTTTATAATTAATCAAAAACCATTGTGAATATTGAAACAAACCAAGCGTTATTTTTTTACCTAGTCAGTGGTATGAAGAATTCTTTATTAAACTACTATAAAGCTGAATAATACCATCCATTTAAATAAGAAATAAATCCATGTATAAGAAATAAAAATTGTCAAGTTAATAGGTTTATTTGTGTAGAATTGGGCCTTACTAGGATCTGAGGAACAATTATGAACAATTACCATATTTATGAACTGATCTTTGGCCTAAGTCCGCTCTTAGAAGTGGTTAATGGAGGTTCTCGCTTTCCCACCAAGATCGATGACGAACT